GTAAAGTCTTACATGTATGCCTATTTGTGTGCAAAAGGGCCACATTTGCTAAGCCAAGTTAGAGGTGTAATACACATGCATATGAATATAGGTGGACCGCACATTTGGTTAAGTTTTTTCACAATTAATCTAGTTAACTTGATATTCATGAGCACCCTTTCACTCTCTAAGACGACAACAAGTCACACTTCATCTCAAGTGAAAATGTGCTTATAACTACTATGTATGTCAGCCGGAGTATAAGTTTTCAGGTCGTTAAATACGTTCTACAAGTCGACTGCTTAACTGGCAATTGTGGCATCTCTCAGAGGTGTGTTGCACGCCGCCCATGAAAACGTACGTACTCATAAATACATGCCCAACATTCCTTGGGTCCTGACAGCATTAACAACAGTAACTATTTAAGTATCTGCCGCAGTTGTCTTGTCGCTGCTTATGTGCCACACTTGGGATGCCAGAGCTCGGCCAGGGCCCAAGTAGACAAGGAGACTGTAGCAATGCCAAAGATGGTTGTGGCCATGCGAGTAACTGGCACAAAGCAGATCGGCACAAGGACCAAGCGAAAACCGCACACACTTGACGGTGGCCAGGGGCTGGCTGCCTTAACTGAGTGTCATATATATATATATATATCTTTATCTATATGAGTTAAAGCTTAAAACTCATGTGCTTAAAGAAAGGGGGAAAAGAGAATATTGCTCTGCAAGTATTTGCTCAAGTTATTTAAATGTGTTTGGGTTGCATATTTTTTGGCTTTCGCGCAATTCGCCGCCGCCAGAGCCCCAAGCAATCAACTGTCTGACGCGAGTCGGAATTGCAGCGGGAAAAACACAGCTTCCCTTGGAGCAAACGAAAAAAAAAAAGCCCCAAGCCCGGACGAAGATAAGCTCACAGCCTCACAGCCCTACAAAAGCAACAATCGTACGCTCAGCCGGAGCCAGTTACCATGAGAGCAGCAACGTCTCAAGTCGAGCAGCTAGTTTTAGTGCTCATCGTTTGTCTGGCGGCATTAGGCAGCAGCCAGGCATACGAAGTGCCCAGAGCCACAGTCAAAGTGAATACGCCGCACGGATTTGAGGTCTCCGTACCAGACGAGCCGGGTATTACGTTGTTCGCCTTCCATGGCAAACTCAATGCGGAAATGGAAGATCTCGGCGATCAAACCTGGGCCACCGACGTCGTCAGTGCACGCAACGGGCGCTGGACATATCACAATCGCCAGCAAAAGCTGCAGCCAGGAGATGTGCTCTACTACTGGACAACCGTCAGATACAATGGCCTGGACTTTCATAGCTATAACCAGCGACATCAGGTGGGCCAGGACGATGCTAAAAGCCAAAATGTCACCATCGATCTGACCACCAAAGGAGGATCCCATTTACCAATCAATATCAATGGAAACCCCACCATAAATATATTTGTATCATAATCACGCAGACACCTTGTGGAAGTTCCCAGCCGGAAATGACACAACAATCAGCAAATAACTTTATAGTAGCAACGCGAATTCTTAAAACGTTTTTTTAAATTCCAAGTGCCTTACTTCAAAGTATTAATTAAATATGCGCTAAATTCATAGGCAAAACAACACAAAACAAAGTACAAAACGAACAAAAAATTCGGAAATTGTTACGCGAAAATAAAAATTAAATTATATAAGTAAGTTGTATATATATAAAATATTTAAAAATGTACATTTTTTGATTCAACAAAGCATGTGCCAGTTTTTTTTTGCATAAATCTACAGATGTAGAGTCATAATCAGTAGCACATACGTCATCTGATCGTCTTTCGCATAAACTGTTGTTCTTCAACTTGACGTTCTTGGTGGGAATCCCAACAGGTTAATTTTTATTATTTGTTTGATCATTACGGTTATGTTAATTGATTAGTGTTTAATAATTGTTTATAGTCTTAAATTGAATAACATAATATTTTTGGGCAAGATCAGTATCAAGAGTCGAGTCAGTATGGCCAGTCCGCTTGTATGTTTCTATATATATATATCTTTATAATTATATATATCGCGTAGCGACAAATCTTACGCTGTCAAAACTTAATTTTTTTTGTAAAAAAAAAAAAAAGTAATCATTACATTACATTAAATCAAGTATACGTATATTTGCAACGCAAACACCTTTTCTTCAAATTTACAAAAATAAACTCAGCCCAGCTTTCGTTCAGCTTTCATCATTCAAAATTGACTGAATTTATTTTCCTATGTTTAGTATATATTTGTGTGCCGGTAACAACAAATTTTGGACTCTGCACATGTCAAACTCATTTCGATTTGCATTGTTTTCCAAAGTGCCATAAATCAAAAGAGCACTTTGTCACAGATACCCAAGTAAGTATCCGGGACGTATAAATCATTTTGAAAAGTTCTCCGCATGCGTGTGAAATAATGTGCGAGTAATGGCTGCTTCAAAATTACCGCAATGCATTGAAAATGCAAAGACTCACACTCAAGCAGATAGGAGTGCACTAGTCGAGAGTACTCGACTAAATGATACCCTGTGCACAGGTAAGAATTGGTCTGACATCTGAAAACATTTATTTCTAAATGCGAATACATAATTAAAAATTATCCATGTGTAAAAAATCAAAAGATGACTCTGACTAAATTATATTGAAGAACAATAGCCAACCTTTGCCTAACTGAAAACTGAAAACATGGTGTGTCTTTTCTTTGCTCCCAAATTGAAATATAAGATTAAACTTATATCTATTACGATATAAGGTGAATTATTTAGAATTTAAAACGAATTTGATGCGAGTTAAGTGTACGTGTCCTCGCCTATTTTAAAGATTGAGTCTAAATCTACCTAGATATCTTTCAAGATAAATATTAATAATACTTAAAGTCTCATCTATGTCTGCCCGTTACACATATAAGCACAACTTCTTTATCCTCGTTTTTATACCCAAAATGGGCACAGGGTAAAAACGGGTAAACAAAAAAAAAAAAAGACAAATAAGAAAAGAAATAAAAATAAAAAACTTGCTCAAACTATTCACGCAGGTAGTTCTGATATCAGAATCGAGCATTGGCCTTTTGGCAGCAAATATTCGAGTAAACAACTGCACAAAGGTTACTTTTGGCCCATTTAACTTTCACTTGAGCCAAACAAAAGCAGATAAAACTTTTTGCTTAGACAGAACAAGCACAATACAAAGTCACAAATCCATTCGGTTTTTATCGACACAAGTGCTTAGAAGTTTTTTCTTCACAGGGCCAAAGTGCTGATATCTGTTGCTGCTATGGTACTTAAAGAAATGACAAATGGATATTGGTTTTGTGTAATTGTAAACTATAGTTTAAATTCTTATTTATTTAGTTATTAGGCAAGCATCTACTTAATGTTAAAGATCACTTAGTATAAATGCAGTTGAAGGCTCAACAACAATGCTATCCCTCAGATTGCGAATATATAATAATAATATAATAAATAAAAATTCTATCCCTCAATTTAATTTGTAATGCATTTATTAACTATTCTATGCGTATCATATTATTCATATGAATTCGCCTTTGAAATTATCAACAACTATCTGAAACAAGGGTAACATTTGTTTTCAGCTTCACTATACCAAATGATTGGAGTATATTTGACAACCTTATCCTTTTTCAGCCATTTATCTACAAATTAAATATCGATATCTATAGTTCCATAGAAGACAAAATATTTAAGCTAGATTCTTATGAAGCAAAACTGGAATTGTTAAGATACCTTTTGTTTTTACTAAGCAAATACATCTACCTTTTATGTAATTTCCAATCTGAAAGAAATATAGCATGAATTTATTCATGATTTCGTGGGTTTTATCGTAGTATAATGATTTCAGTTACTTTTGGGGATCTTCAATAAAGGTTAACTAAAGGACATGGTAAGCGGAGTAATGATAGTGTGTATCAAATAAGAGTTTCTATTGCATTATATTACTATCACATTATTATATCTAATATGAAAGCTGAAAGTGACCCTATTATATGTTTTGGAGCTGCTGCTAAGCTTCCATTAGTATAAGAGGAAGCAACTGCAGCTCGTTCAGTTTTCGCTTGACCTGTGTTCCTGACCGCTTTTAGTAGCTACCGTTGAGTGTAGCCAGCATACTTAAATATGGCCAAAATATAACTAGAGCAATTGTAATAATTAAAGAATGCCGTATACATAGTTTTGTATATAGCTTTTAGGAGCCACATAATAGGCATATTAATTAATGCAGACATTTGTCGCATCTGCATTTGTCACAGCTCATTTGCAGCAAATTAAGCGTGTCGGCCAAAAGGTAGAACTAATTTAATTTTTCATATAACCAACAACTCCCACTTGCATAAGCGTAACTATTTATTTGTGCCTGTGTGTGTGTGTGTAAGTGTGTGTATGTTAGATGCGTATGTATGTGAAATAGGGGGCAGCTAAGCGACGCTGTCAGCAACATTTGCGAACTGTTCTCATTTTCTCATTTTCGCGCAATGTGTGAGAATTACAAAATGCAAGCTAGCGGCAAGTTTGTGTCAGTTGCCACACACACACACACACACACACACACGCACACGCACACACACTCGTACAGTCGAACACTCGCACACCCCATTTAAAGCAACGCTCACACTCATGCTTCATTTAACACGCACACAACCAGACACTTTGGACGCCATTTTGCAGGTGGCAAGGCGTTTAAATGACTTGTGACAACTTTATGCGCAGCCCACTATTCCTGGCAAAATACAAAAAAAAAAAAAGAAAAGAAAATAAATACTGTCACAAAATTATGCCATCAAGTTGCAAGCAGCTGAAGCATTAAAAGTGCAGCAGAAATATTTTCATGTTTACACTGCAAAACTGAGAAATATTATTCTTGATGTTAATCGTGAAATGAAAAACCAGTTCGAGTTTGCAGTTCCACAATTCCAATTGAAAAAAAAACAACCCGAATTTCTTTCCTTCAAATAATTAGATTCAAAATAAAAAATGCTTGAAGAAATATCAAATATATTTTTTGGGTTTGAGGTCCTCAAATTTGCTGTTTACAAATTAGGGCATTTTGCTGGAATTTTAATTTTAGTCTTCAATAAATTTGAATGTGTGTATTTTGCATATTAACACATAGCAGAAACTGGAGAAGCTTCTAGATTTCAAGAGTGCGTACAAATTTCGCAGCCGCAATCATTTTTCCCTTGACTTTCTTTTCTGTTTAACGAACTTTGATGTTTCTTAATCGTTTTTTTAGCACAAGGCTTATCAATGTTCTGTTTAGCCCCCTTTTCATTCTGCTCCTCACTAACGCCGTCGGAAGAGCTGCTCTCTCCTTGTTCATTTTTTGAAGAAATTTGAATGCGAATATCAGTCTTAAAAATTGTTGCCGAATTATCAGTACCATCCTTAAGATTTTGTTCTTGCCCCGTTTCTCCACTTTGAGTTTGATTCTGACATGCATCATTTAGATCTTCTCCATTACCTGAAAATGTAAAAGATAACATCGAATTTAAATACAGAATCGCATTTAGTTTTCCCACCATTTGTATTATTTTCAGGAGCCTCATTTTCAAGAAAATTCCCAGAAGATAAGACATCATTTAGATGTTTAATATAGTCCACCGGCATAGATTGTGCGTATTGAGGGTTAACCTCAAGCTTGACTTGCTTAACGTTGCCGGGAAGATAGGAGCTTTCTTCTGACATAAAGTTGTCCAATTCGAAACGGTATGTTCCACCACTTACAGCCACAATCGATACAGCCATTATCAGGAGCCCGAGCGAAATAGGTTTCATCTTGCTGCCGAAATATTACAAACTAATTGACTTGCAGATATAGGAGCTCACAATACAATTATCGCTTCCATTTTAATCAATACGCAACGGTGCACTGAGACTAACAGCCTTTGTTATTCAATCATGTAATTTGAACTGCTGAGTTAAATGCATTAAAAATTTTCCAGTCTTAGTTCAAATATTTTATCATGTTTTCCTTCTAAGATCAAGAATGAATATATACAGTCGGGCTCCTGATATTCTCAGATGCAATCAGACAACTGAATAAACTCTCTATTCATTTTGAAACAAATAACACTGGTTATGTAATTGCTTATTATATCTTAAGTAGGGTACATTTGACTCTTGGTTTTTATTTCGATGAAAGTTTTAGAAAAATACAAACAAATTCGTTTCTCATGCCCCATATGTACCCTATTATTATTCTTTCGCCTTTTGAAAAGGTTCAAGACATTTGCAATTGAACCTCTTATGCTTAGCCCTATATCTATGCGTTTTCTTATGATCCTCGAGTTCCTCGCTACTAGATGACTCTTCAGTGCTTGCATCTGCAGTAGAAAAGTCTAAGGCATTATCAAGAGGCCCATGTCTAGGGTTTTCCTTATGCTCGGTACTTTCGCTTAAAGAATAAAGCCATGATGATTCTCCGTCCATAAGGTGATGCCATCTTGCACGGTATTTGCCGCATGGGCATGCAGTTGGAAATTCACCCCCCTTAACACTATTCTTTGCAATATTAGAATCAGTCGAATCCTCCATAATCAGAGCTGGCACAGCCATCAGAAATGGTAAAATCCACACACATCTCATCCTGTAGCAGATCAATTACACACTGATCATGTCACTCTTAAGTGGATTACATTTAAATCCTTTTCGGTTACATAAGAGACTGCGTAAAACGCCACGGTGGAACGAAACTAATGATCGACTTGGTCATAATTATACCCGGTCTCCATAGAAATAGGAGGGAATATTAGATTGGTTTAAGCCAATATAACAGCTACTGATTAGGAGTACGAGGCGAGTCTAGCCTTAGCTGGCGTAATCCTGCTAAAATTCGTTTGGAGAAAAAAATGGAATTTGCAAATCAATACTAAGCGATTGTTGATTTTAAAATAGAATATATATATGCATTTGATGTTGGAAGAAGAGGGTTCAGGGTATCCCCTAGTCGGGAGCTTCCGACTAATACCTCTTACTTGTCAAAAATGTTTTAGTTAAAAAGTCTCAGGTTTTAAATGCCAGATATACGGAAATTCGCTTAAGTTTTATGTACGTTATAACATTTTCACCCATTTTCTAGGTGCAATGTATACAAAATAGCTTATGCCACACTTTTATGTAGCTACAAATACCAAAAGCTTGCAGCACAAATTTGAGGCAACTTCAAAATAGGCAGCCAAACGCAAGAGGTATGTATCAACGCAAAGAAAATATAATGTTTTCGACTAGGAAATACCCTGTACCTGGAAACCTTTAAAATAAAATATTCATCTTTATACTATACGAGACACTATATACCAGTTTGATGCCCTAAGGTCTAGCTTAAATATCAATATTTATCGATATTAAAAGAAAGATCAATATTCATATAAGAAATTTATATTTCAAATTTCAAGTCAAGCTCAAAAGATGAACGGGTATAAATAGACTAAATTTTTCCTCCTGATAACCATCATACCACCTTTAACCATGTAGGGTATAAGAAGCTGGAGTTTGGCAAATTAATTATAAAAGATTCCGCCAAGTTAAATATTTTGCCAGAGTTAAGTTAAGAGTTGCTAGCGGACGCGCCAGTGCGAGGGAGCCCCATTGTAAAATAAGTTGCCAGTAACTTGACGCACATTTGTCACACACATTGCCCTGCCAGCAACAAGGATGGGGTTAGAAACGGGCTGAATATGGATCCACGACTACGTCTACAGGTGGCAATGGCAGTGCTGCCAGGCGCTTGTCACTTGTGGAATTTGCGTGGCCCCAGCAGCTGGGCGGTTGACTGCCCCTTCGCTCCCAACTCCAAGCCCACTGATATATGGCACTTTGAAATTAGTATGAATGCAAAATGTAGAACGAACAGCAGGGCACATGGTTGGCATTTTTCAGACTCAGCAGAAAAATTGTGCATAATATGTATTACTTTGTCATAGTATTCCAAATGTCATGGATAAAGAATAAGACGAAGCACTACCAGAAACATTATGTCATATACTATATACAACTATATAGGACTTTCATATGTAGAAACATTTAAGTCGAGTACAATCTACGTTCAAGATAATTATAATATTGTCCTAATATGCATTGCAAACATATATATAGGCCTTCTAGTATCTCTGATATTTGAGCCTGTGCAGAGCGATAAAATTTTATATTTCTGTGGAAAAATGTTTTTCTTACAACTACAGACATTATTTTTGGAATAAGATTTGTAAGACATATTGTTGCTCTTAAAATATCACAACCGTTTTCTAATTTATGCAATTGTAGGGTGCGTGCTTTTATATATACATATATATAACTAATTAATTATTACACAATTAAAATGAACACAAAATAACATGCTCAAACGATACTATTCAAACCTTAAAAGGTTTTACGTTTGTGAAGCAAGTTTAATTTGAATACAAATTTCTCAGAATAATCGTGTTCGCAACAAAACCCTGAACACAAATGAGCATGAGCATGGCAATTGAATATTCTGCCGTATTTCTGTATAATTCGTTAGTGAATTGTCTTCAATTGCGTCTTATGATTTCAAAGTAGAATAACGTCATCAGCAGAAATTGAAACATGTCAGTTTAAATGCACATTACAATAGCTCGATAATATGTACTTTATTTCGACAATAAGTTATAGACACTCATGAATAAGTAGTATATAAAATGTGTTTGAGCAGCTACTGAAAATAATATTGAGTATATGCAAAGCTGTATGCAGTGTAACTGCTCACATTTTATTCAATATACTAGAAATGAATGTTGCCCAGGGTGTGCTCTAGATCTTCCTGTAGCTTCCTCATTTGAAAGTTGAGCCGCTCATTCAATTCCTTTTGCAGTTGTGCAATGTCTTCCTGAACCTTGGCAGCCTGTCGGGCAGCATCCTCCTGAATCTGCTTTCTGTTCACATATGAATTGCGATCGCCGCTGAAGAGTCCGCCATCGGCCTTGGCCAGCACTGTGCCATCAGCCAGCTCCACAACAATGTTGCCATTCTCGTACTGCACTGTAGCTTCTTGGCCATTGATGTTGATCTTCTCCTGGGAACTGACGCTAGCATCTTTAGCCGGAAAATCATACACCTGTCCGCCGGTGGTCAGCTGCAGACCGCCGTTGACAATACGAATCTGGTGATTGTTGTATGTCTGGTAGCCACCCTCTCCGGCCTGGTTCATTACCAATGCGCCGCCATTGCTCGAAATAAAACTCGAGCCACCAACACTTCTTCCATTGATGACAATGTTGTTGCCGTAGTTGCCGCTAAATCCCGATTGAGTATCATCATCGTCATCCTCATCGCTGTCATCGCCTCCAGTTACAATCGTCTGGCCGCCAGCTCCAACCAATACCTTACGTCCATCGGGGCGCGTGTAGATGCTACCAGCTTCGTTTTGCAGCACAACATTTCCTCCTTGATTATACAGATAGCTGGACACCGGCTGAGCTTGCGTCGGCGCGGTTGGCAGCTCCGCTGTGCCGGCTATGGATGACTCCACGCCATTGTTGCTACGATCCACATCCGTTTTGGGCTTATCCGTCGCGGCTGATTGTGCTGTAAGTTATTAAATTGTGGAATAAGTCGCAGGTCTTGGGAGAAATACTTGAGTGTTTACCGCTGGCCAAGCAGACGGCGAGTGCAACTAGCCCGATCATCATCAGAGCGCGATACGTGTTCATTTTGTGCAACGGGTTGACTATATCAATGCAGTGCTAAAAGCCCGCTATTTATACAAGCGATCGATCGAGTATTATATGTTGTTTATTAAATATACTACGTGGGTAGATATCAGACAGAGGTCAGCGGTGCAGCCTCTGGGAAAAAGCCAGAGACGATTACGGCGTTGCGCTTCCACACGATTTGCGGTTACCGCTCGAACTGAGATCGTCTCTAAACTGACTCCCGTTTTCGACTCACACCTCACAAACGACAAAACTTTGGGTGTCTCTCAGTGCTACGAACTAGGTGACGAAATGCTGATGAGTAACTCAACCGAGTGCACATCAATTAAACTGTCGCACGAATTCCATTTGACAAAAATTGAAATAGGTAAATAATTGAGAGCGACGCGATAAGTACAAAAAAATAATAACAATTAAATACAATTGGTATTCAGGCTTATTGTTAAACAAAAATTCCTTTTTTTTTTTATAATATAGTTTTAAGTTTTACCCCAATAAATTTTACTGTGTAAATGTAGACTATATGTATTTATTTATGTTTGTTAGATGCATATACATATAGATAGTATATATATATATATATATATATACCTGCCAGCACTTGGGAAATCCCTTTCGTGGCAAATGTTTGCATTTGTACTTAAGCCAATACTCGTTTCTTTGGATTTGCTCGTACATACTTGGGTCAGAAGTGTATCGCTCAGATGGGGAATACACAATATAATCTGACGGCTTATCAGTTCGTAAGACAAAGAGAGAGAGTTTGTTTGCCTATGTATATAAATATATACATATATATGTATATGTGTTAGTGTGTGTATTTACTTACAACAAACACAATGGTATTAAAAGTAAACTGGAAAAAGCTAAGCTCTATACAGGCCGTACTTTAAATGCCCTTTCCAGGTGAAAGAGTAATCGAATCTTTACTAATATATATATTATCAAGCATTAATATGAGTTATTTAATTCAAAGTTTTTGGCTGTCCTTCAGTCAAACCATCTACTCAATTTTTATTCAAGCAATACATAAATCTTACATAATACGTTAAACCTTAGCCATATCAAAACATTTAAATGAATCACATTGAGCATTAAGCCACAGACACATATATAAACTATCTGATAATAATAATATTTTGAGTATATATATATTTTGTATCTCTGAATTAGACAAACCAAACTTGAACAAAACAACGAACTCAAAACACTAGGCTTACGAACAGAAACATAAGCTGCTAGACTTGAAACCATGATATAAAAGTGAACCTTTGTTAATAAACAATCCTTTTTTAACAGCTGGTGAGTTTTCCTATTGGTAATTATTAAACAATGTGAAAATTGGTATATTATGCATGTCAAGCAACATTCACAAATGAATTCCGGTGATTATATAATCGTAAATCATATGCTAATGAGTGGCAATATTGTTCGTCGATCTTTAATTCACAACACCCCCACAACAAAAAGAAAGCCATGAAAACAATAATATTTTTATTTTTATAGAAATCCGTTAAATTAAGCAATTAAAAAATATATATTTAATTGGATCATATCATTAATCAGGTCCAAAGTCAACTAGTAGCGCCATTTGCCGTTTGAATGTAGAATTATATTATCGGTTGACTGATCGCTTCCACCGTTCCAGGCTGGTCCGCCGCTGGGTCCCCGGTTCGCAGAGGGTCCCCAATTAAACGAAAAGGGCAGGCCATTGACATCTGTAATATAACATTCACATCTACATATATGCACATATCTAGTATAGAGGACAACTTACCGCTGAGCAGTGCAGCGAGCAACCAGAGCAGGAAAATAAATTGATGGCTATGCAGCATGGTCAAGGCAAGAAGCACAAATGAATGAATTTGAAATAATAACGCGAATTTATACAAGAGCATACACAGAGCGCACGCGGGACACGTGGAGACTCGGACAATGTCTTGGGGCAGACAGACAACCTAAGTAAATGCATAATGCGATTGATTGTGTCTGCTATCACTGCCTACACATCAACGTATTTGTTTACAATTTTGTATTCCCTGTACTTATTGAAAGTTACTTAGAGAAGGGTATAAATCGATAATCGTCCGTCTGCCTAATTGTCAGTATGTTCGTGGGAAAATATATGCTACATATCTTAGACACAAAATTAAATATGTAGATTATTGAGCAGCCCGAAAATTTAACACTCGATAGCCGAAATTATGTATCAATAATAGCGCTGTTCTAAGTTTACACACAGAGTTTTTAGGTTATATCCAAGCCCTGTAAATTTTATAACGATCGGACTATAAACACCGAAACCGAAGACAAGGAAATTTGAGTCTTTGTTACGGCAGCTTGTCGCTAAATAGACGGTATCTGATAGTCGAGCCCTTCCGACTAAAGTACTTATGTTGTATTTTGACTGGCTGCCAAGTTAACATCCTCTCTTCTTCTCTCTTCGCCTCTCTTTCATGTACCGCCCCTCACACTTCACACGCTGGGGCAATTAAGAAGTTTCGCTATGTGTCTGCTAATTATTTTCAATTGAATTGCTTGGCTCTGGCTTTCGGTAGTTCGTAAAAGTTTTTGTATTGCTGCCCATTAAACATATCGGCTGTTGGCATTCATTGAGCAGTCACATTAGCCTCACTTGGTGAGCAGGTTGTGAGCTTTTGTTGACGCCCCTCTCCTCTCCAACCGCCACCACAACTGCCACCACCCAACTGCAGTTAACGCTTTGTGGCTATTTTGTTTTGCTCGACTCTGTGCAGCAAGTTGAACAATAAAAATTAAACAGGTATTGCGATGTTGTTAATGCATAGCTGAGCTGTTGACTGGCTTTGGACGTGGGAAAGACAACATGAGAGAGGAAGAGAGAGACAGAGAGAGCGATTATACAATGTTTTTAAAGTAATTTGTGGGAGTTATCACAACAACAAGAGAGAAACATATAAGTACTGAATATGAGTAAACTTTTTTTTTAATTTCAGTTTGGATTTAATTCGATCATAATTATATCAGAAAATTCCGATTACAATTATTTACCGAATATACTGATCTTCAACACGGCACACACATTTATTTTTAGAATACTAGATACACTACACAGTAAAAAGATAACTGGGAGTGTTATGTTTTATGATTCTAAATCATTATAGCACATAATAGATTTATTGTAACTTTATACTTTCTGCAACTAGGCAAATTTGTTCAGGATAATAAAATAGAGTTCATAATGTCAAATATTAAAAATATGTGCGCCGTAATCAGTTAATCAGAAGGTAATATCATGAAGTATTGTTTTAACAATGGATATATATATATATAATAAATATTTTATGATCACATTTAGCGTATTTACGTGAACATTGTTTAGATTCATATTACGCATTATTATTTATTTTCTTTTAACTTCTAATGCATATTACTTTCCCGGCAGGAGTTTTTTTTTTTTGACACATGGACCCATTAAACCAAAACAAGAGCAAGCCCATAGCAGGGGCCAAACCATGATCAAAAGCCCAACAATAATGCATAGACATAGAGAACCATTAAAATGGACGCAGTTGCATACTGTGGCAAATATATGAGCTGCGACCAGCCATGCCACAGGTTCCGACCAACCTGCTGGGAGTGGGTTTGGTCTGGCGAGTGCTGTGGTCCACCCGAGGCTGGACCGTTCGCACTGTGTGGCTGATGTGAGGGCTGAAGTTGCTTTTGTTGTTCGAATCGAATCAATTTGATTTTCCAATCAATTAAACTCTATATATATTGCGTCTGTGCTGCTAAATATAGCAACAACAGCAACAATTGCCACAAAGCACAGCTAGAAATGTGCGGCACAGATAACAGAGTGAGAGAGAGAGAGAGAGGGTACACACTTTCCCGCTCACTCTCGCTGCCATTGGCGAATGTCTCCATCAACGCCTGGCTGCACAAGCACAAAAATGTTAGGTTGCCAGTTCAGGTTGGGTTTGATGGGCACAGTGTGGGGCACTGTTGCATATTGCAGAACTTTGACTGCATTTTTGGACTGGGCAAATGTTAAGTACGATGCTGAATTGAAGGCGACGTCTATACTGCTGCTGCCGCTACTGTCTTTGACGTTGCCAGTGCTGTTGCGGCAAAAACAGACACATAAATCAGAAAATCAATTTTAACAATTGTGGACTGCTTCCTATCTAACTAAGCAGAAAAATAAAACAGCTGCCTGCATAAAGTTCAATGGCATTTGGTATTTTAATCAAAAGATAATGTACAACAGAAAAGCTATTTGATCTTTATGAAGCCTCTGCTTAATACACATATTTCTCACAATAAAGGTCCTCCACTGCCGCTAGCGTTAATCAATCCATTATTTCCAAAAATTTTTCCACTCTGGCCTCCAGATACGATACTATCCTTCTCGACAGTTGCTTTAAAAGGCCCTCCACTGCTGCCACTTTGAATTAAACCCCCTTCTATTTTACCAAATGGTCCTCCATTGACGCCACCGTTAACCAAACCATTTCCAGCTTGATTTCCAAAAGGTCCGCCGTTTTGGTTTTCAGATATGATGCCTCTGTTAGATCTGAAAGGTCCTTCAACACTGCTACTTCGTATGAATCTATCGCTTGCCTGTCCATACGGTCCTCCAGTGTTGTGTCCATTTACCAACCCCTCGCCAGGCATATTTCCAGTATTTCCGAAAGGTCCCCCGCTATTGCTTCCAGACGTGATACCTTCCTGGCCGACATTTAGTTGAAAGGGTCCGCCACTGTTCATACCTCTTATTAATCCTATTTGTCCTTGTTCAAAGGGTCCTCCACTGCTGCCTCCGTTAACTAATTTATCCCTAGCTTGATTTCCAAAAAGTCCTTCATTCTTTCTTCCAGATTTAATACTTTCCTGATCAGCGTTAACTTTAAATGGTCCTCCAGTGTTGCTTCCCCTTATTAATCCTCCACCAGTGCCAGCGTTAACATGTGTACCCTGGCTTCCAGAAGATTTTCCAAGTTCGGTCCCAGCTATATTACCTTCCTGGCCGACATTTACTTGAAAGGGTCCACCACTATTACTACCCCTTATTAATCCAGTTTTCTCTTGTCCAAAGAGTCCTCCACTGCTGCCACCATTCACAAATACATCTGTAGCCTGATTTCCAAAAAGATCTTCATTCTGTCCTCCAGATATAATAATTTCCTGATCGGCGTTTATTTTAAATGGTCCTCCAGTGTTGCTTCCCCTTATAAATCCAATGTTTTCTTGTCCGGAAGATCCCCTACCGCTGCCAGCGTTTACATGTGTACCCTGGTTTCCAAAAGATCTTCCGATTTGGCTCCCAGCAATATTACCTTGCTGGCCGATATTTACTTGAAATGGTCCACCATTATTACTACCCCTTATTAATCCAGTTATCTCTTGTCCAAAGGGTCCTCCACTGCTTCCGCCAATCACAAATTCATCTCTAGGCTGACTGCGAATAGGTCCTTCGCTCTGTCCTCCATATATAATACTTTCCTGATCGATGTTGACTTTTAATGGTCCCCCGCTGTTACTACCGCTTATTAATCCCGTGTTTCTTTGTCCAAAAGATCCTCCGCTGCTTTCTGGCATACTGCTAGAAATCGCAAAAGGTCCTCCTCTTTGACTTGCAGATGTGATAAAGGGTCCTCCACCATTGCTAGATCCTAACAATCCGTTTGTTCCCTGTCCGAATGGAGCTCCGTTGATGTCACCATTAACGTATCCATATCCAGCCTGATTTCCAACATTTTCGAGAGGTCTGCCCTTTAAGCTCCCGGATATGATGCCAGTGTCCATGTTACTTATATAGCCGCCGTTGCTAACCATTAAATTCCCACCATACAATATTCGATACTCCGCAAGAGCCGATGCTGTCATCAGCACCACTACGGTCCATACGTGTCTCATCTCGACGCTAAGCAAATTTGAACTGATCGGAAAACATAGAAACGAGCCGAAAAAAATGACGTTGTCAATTTTGCATAACAACGAGAAATTATAAAATAAACATACTACAGCTAATCTATCAATGATTACAAACAAAAAAAAAACACATTAATCAAATATCCGCTATACCTTGGATGCGTTCAGCAGAGTGCCTTAAACGTGATTGCAGAGAGTTTATTACTCTTTGCACAATGCTAGACGATTTATTGTCATTTTTATTTATAGGCATTTATTTTACATATCATTTAAATGTGTTTGCTTTGCAACGTAAAATGTTTATCAATCAGTCTGCTGAACGTAGTCATTGTTTGTGCTTATTTACAATTTTACTGAGATTTGACTACGCATCTAGAGTAACCTTGCTATGGCGTCTATTTTACTTAAAAAGCTTTCAATACAATATGACTATACGCCCCTTATTTCGCATCATAAAAATATATAATATGTAATGATCAAGATCCAAATATGAGAATTGAAATTGATATAGATATAGATATAGATATAGATATAGATATAGATATAGATATAGATATAGAAAGATATAGATATAGATATAGATATAGATATAGATATAGATATAGATATAGATATAGATATAGATATAGATAAGATATAGCTATAGATATAGATATAGATATAGATATTAGATATAGATATAGATACTAGATATAGATATAGATATAGATATAGATATAGATATAGATATAGATATAGATATAGATATAGATATAGATATAGATATCGTAAGATATAGATATAGATATAGATATAGATATAGATATAGATATAGATATAGATATAGATATGATATAGATATAGATATAGATATTAGATATAGATATAGATAGATATAGATATAGATATAGATATAGATAATAAGATATAGATATATATATAGATATATATATAGATATAGATATAGATATAGATATAGATATAGATATAGATATAGATATAGATATAGATATAGATATAGATATAGATATAGATATAGATATAGATATAGATATAGATATAGATATAGATATAGATCTAGATATAGATATAGATATAGATATAGATATAGATATAGATATAGATATAGATATAGATATAGATATAGATATAGATATAGATATAGATATAGATATAGATATAGATATAGATATAGATATAGATATAGATATAGATATAGATTAGATATAGATATAGATATAGATATAGATATAGATATATCTATAGATATAGATATAGATATAGATATAGATATAGATATGATATAGATATAGATATAGATATAGATATAGATATAGATATAGATATAGATATAGATATAGATATAGATATAGATATAGATATAGATATAGATATAGATATAGATATAGATATAGATATAGATATAGATATAGATATAGATATAGATATAGATATAGATATAGATATAGATATAGATATAGATATAGATATAGATATAGATATAGATATAGATATAGATATAGATATAGATATAGATATAGATATAGATATAGATATAGATATAGATATAGATATAGATATAGATATAGATATAGATATAGATATAGATATAGATATAGATATAGATATAGATATAGATATAGATATAGATATAGATATAGATATAGATATAGATATAGATATAGATATAGATATAGATATAGATATAGATATAGATATAGATATAGATATAGATATAGATATAGATATAGATATAGATATAGATATAGATATAGATATAGATATAGATATAGATATAGATATAGATATAGATATAGATATAGATATAGATATAGATATAGATATAGATATAGATATAGATATAGATCTAGATATAGATATAGATATAGATATAGATATAGATATAGATATAGATATAGATATAGATATAGATATAGATATAGATATAGATATAGATATAGATATAGATATAGATATAGATATAGATATAGATATAGATATAGATATAGATATAGATATAGATATAGATATAGATATAGATATAGATATAGATATAGATATAGATATAGATATAGATATAGATATAGATATAGATATAGATATAGATATAGATATAGATATAGATATAGATATAGATATAGATATAGATATAGATATAGATATAGATATAGATATAGATATAGATATAGATATAGATATAGTTTTGAAAGATTTCAGCCCTGGTTTCGTTACTTTATTACACAAATAATCTGGGCATACTGTTCCGTTGACAAAATGCAAAAAAAGAATAAAAAAACCTATTTTTAGTTATCTGTTAAAATTCTATTTAATTCTATTTTTTCTTAATGTCAGAGCTCTCGAAAATTAACGAAATGGGCGATTCGCCGCCAATTGCCGCATGTTTTACACTTGAAAAGTCCCAGTTGTCCACATGGCGCTCTGAGTTCTTTACGTTGCCGATTAATCGACTGGCCCAAAATGTTTGTACCGCGTGTGATCCGATCAGCGCTTGTATAAGGCAGGACCAGAAATCGTTAACTATGCCCGGCAAGGAGCACTTTGAGGTGACTAAGCTGACAAAGTCGACGGTTGGCGGCCCGAAATGGATCTGTGCTGGCCTTGATCTGCTCCGTCTATCCATGCGCAAGGATTGCGAACTCTCCGCCCCTTATCTGTTCTACTGGCACAAGCTGGAGCGCTGTAATTATTTTCTCCATACCGTGATAGAGCTCCTAGCACGTTGTGAGCCAATAGATGGACGCACCTTTAAGTACTTGATGAAGCACACGGTGCCCGATGGCGGAAATTGGCAGATGTTTGTGAATCTCATCCAGAAGTACGGTGTTATGCCCAAGCAATCCTATCAGGCTAGTTGGTCGTCAACTCGATCGTTGCATCTTAACAAGATGCTTAGGAGCAAGGTAAGTGCTGTCTACCTCAAATCCGGTTGAATTGAGACTATGTTATTATATTTTGCAGCTGCACGAGTTTAGCTGCCGACTGCATGCGAAATTTACATTTGATGGGGATAGCCATATGCTGCGATTAATGATGGAGCCCATGATTGAAGAGCTTTACAAAATAATAAGCATTTGCTTGGGAACGCCACCCGTAAACTTTACGTGGAGCTTAAAAGATGAAGACCAGAGGCTTATTTATACACCGCTGAGCTTTTACCAGGCCATGATAGAGCCCTATTTTTCACGCGAAGCGCAGGTTTGCCTGGGCCACGATCCCCGCCTCAGCTCCATCTTTAACCGCAACTATCACATCGCAAACAGCTCCAACATGATTGATGGACTACAGCAAAGTTACATCAACCAACCAATGGAGATTCTGCTGGAAACCATCGTAAAGTCTCTGGCAGCTGGCTCAGCTGTATGGCTGGCCTGCGATCTGCCCGTTTTGTATAACAAAAATTTGGATGTGCTCAGCCTGAAAACGTACCACTTTGATCAGGTTTTTGGCATGCCCGTGGATACGGCACTTGACAAAGCCGAACGTATGCTCTACAAGGCGACGCGTCGCAATACAGTGCTGTTGCTGACAGAGGTCACGTTGGATGCAGTGCGGCAGCCGTTGCAATTCAGCACTATGCGAAAGGTAACAGAACCGACAACCACCAAAAAGACGGACTCCTCAGATAGCCTACGCCTGCCGGAAGCTGTTGAGGCTGACGCTGAGGCCAAACAGGATGCAGTCAAGCGTAAAGTGGCCAGCGGCAAGGCTACCGTCTTAAATGTCGATTGGCTGCGGGAGTATGGCTTCGAGATAGTTGTCGACTCCCGCTATGTGCCGCCAGGCGTGATGCACGCGCTTCAAACTCAGCCCAGCGTGGAACTGCCCGTTTGGGACCCCATGGGCGCGCTGCTCAGTTGATGGCTGATGAGTCCCCAGGTAGTTGTTCAGGGCTGGCATACCGTCCAATACACCAAATCAGCTGTCATCAATTTTAAATTCTGGCAAGGAGCTGCTTCCGCCTGGCCTAAACCAAACTCTTTGATATTGAATGCCTTTCAAGACATTTATAGAAAATTGTAATAAGTTTTTAAATGTTAAATGTTCTTAATCCGAAATCATAAAAACTTAATTATGATGTAGCCAGGCGGTATATTGTAAAAGCTTAAATAATAATACAGTTTTAATGGAATTGTTTTTTTTTTATTATATAGAAATTATACACAACTTTAACTTAGTTTCTAAGATGAACCAAATTAGTTCCTTCTTTTCGTGTCATTCTAACCGTGTTATATATTAAAATGAATGATTGGCTTTTTAAATATATCTTAAACATTCTTGACTTCACGAGCGGAATTAGTTCCTAATTTTTCTCTGACTTTAAATGCTGTAATGTATTGAAATTATTGAAAAATCTTGCATTCAAACCGACGAGCCGCGACCTTAGCTAAGTTTTTGGGAATTAGACTTACGTGCCTAGCATGCCTAATTAGGCATTAGAGAGACAATTGCGGCGGGAGTTTGGAAGCAAATGCGACCGTTGCCGTCAAGTCGACGACTGTTTTGGACTTAAGGGATTTGCGCTGAAGAAATTTAACTTTGCATAAAAGAGGAACAACAAAAAGCGCTTTGTCTTAAGACAAAATGTTCATTTATTAAATTTACGATAAAATGTTCTACCATTTCTTATAGCTTTTTCCTCTGCCATAGCCAATATTATAACCTCGACCAGCACCAATGTAGGGATTGCTATAGTAGGGCTGCGGTTGTACCAGAATCGGTTGTACTATCACCTGTGGCTCTGGATAGTACAGCTTCTTCAGAAGATGACGTGGCCCACGTAGCTGATTAGTCTCTGATGGCGTGGCGGCGCCTCCCTCTCCTGTTGCGGAAATTCCATCAGCATGCAGGTCAGCATCTGACAAATCAGCAACTGCATTGTGGTTATCAGGAAAGGCCACAACCAAGACAACAGTGAGGCTGCTAAGCAAAAGAAACGCAACGAGCTTCATCCTGACGAAAGACGATCTGTAACTGAATAAACTAAACAGCCAACAGACTCTTAAATACGCGTCATGGAAAAAAAAAAAATATTGCAGGTAACATCTGGGCAAAACTACCTGATTTATGTTTACGGAGCAGCTGCAGAGGATTAGCGCAGATTACTACTTGGAAATGTTAAATCGTTTATGAGTCTATAAATCAGCAAGGCGATTTGGTAAATGTTTTTTTGGAATGCTTGAAACATAATTTATTTTAAGGCTAATTCCTTATTGTTGCCGTGGTTCCCTAACCCCTACGCAAGCGCCTTACTATATGATATATGTATGCAAATAATATTTAGGTATTCCTTATCCTTAAACTGGTGGTGCTGGTAAACCCACGGGTGGTGCTGGCACTCCATCAGGCGGTGCTGGCATTCCCTCAGGTGGTGATGGCATCTGGCGGCGTTGCTGTTGAGCCAGAAATCATAAATAATGTGCAATTAGTAAAGTAAGTTAACTCTTTGATGATGTTGCATAGTCTCTAATTTGAGTCTCTTAAAACTATGCCAAACAAGTTCAAAAAATATTTTCCCTACATGACAAATGAGCTCGCTAAGGCTGCTGGTATTGAGAAAGTCTTATAACAATTTTGTTCTTCTTGATAATGGTTCCATTAACATCCACATAAGTTCTGCCTTAGTTTTGACTACAATATTTGACTACAATATTTTGCTGGTGGTAAGGGAATACCAGCTGGTAGCTGGCCAATGAATGGGTAACCTTATTGTTGCCAGAATACAGAAGAATGAATACAGATCAAATGGGAACTAACTAGTTAATAAAGATAGGAAAAGCTACAAGTAAAAGTATTGGAATATTTTACTTACCCTGAGATGTGATGGTGGTTCTTCGTTAGTCACCTGCGTTGGTTCGTTGTTCAAGTTCATGATATTGCGACGGGGCTGTTAGCATATGGACAGATTTCAGGTGTAATACTCTATAGTTATATCTGATAGCTTACTCTCAAATGTGGTGGGGGTGGTGGCGGATGTTCGTTGTTGACATAAGCCGATACGCTCTCGAGTCCCTTTTTATGAGTGTGGACATGGCGCCGTGCCTAGAATTAGTAGGCATTGGCAAAATCGCATAAGTAATTTCTTCCGCCGCATCAATTGCTCTTCATTAATGCTTAATTGGCGACGCGTCATGGGGCAGAGAGATTTTAACTTTTGTGCCATTTATTACACAACAGACTTACCCTGACAAAGAGGCGTACGGGCTCCTGTAGCAAATACTTATTTAGAATATTTGTAATAGTGCAGCAAGTATTATGTCGCTTACCTCCAAGCCCTTTGTAGAGCCACCGCCACCGCCACCACGTCCGTCCACGCCGAACAATGTCAAAGCCACCACGTAAACAACCAAAACAACGCAAAATAGCTTCATTTTCGTTCCGTCACGTCGCGTTCAATATTTTGGGAATGGGAGAAACTGTGACTTCTCGCCGCTGGCCAGCAGTTAGCTGTGCAGCTTCTTATATACGTTCTACCCCCATGGGTATTTCGATTTTAATTGGCTTGTTAAACGTTATCCGAAATCTTGTAAAATGTCAGCTTGCCAAGTAATTGTCGATACGTATCGCACAGGGGCAACAATTTAATTGTTTATTAAATCCCAGTTATTAGCAGCTGCCAAATGACATAAAGCAAGATGTATCCTCAAGATACATCTGCATTAACATCAAAAGGGCGGCATTTAAAATGAGAGTGTGTTTCGGTGAGCTATTGTGATATTATGCTGACCAAGCCAATTTGCCAGCTACTCTTAAAATATACACAAATTGAAAAATTAATATAGATTCAAGGACTTTAAATGATTTGTGCGTAGCCAACATTTTGAAAGAGAACCCCATTTATATAACCGACAATTCAGGTATTAAATCCATTTTATATTTTATATTTCTTGAATAAACTTATTTTAAACGTTGCTCTACCCTTGTAGAAGGTGCTTCAACTTTCTGCAAAATAACATATATTTTAAATAATAATATAATAAAATATATTTTAAATATGTAAAATAAAAGAGAATTAAAAAATTGTATCAAAAGAGTGAGGTTTTATACACGGTTGACTTAACATAGTGTAATTAATGAACTAGATCAGATCAGTTAATAGTGGATTGGCTAAAATATACATATGTTATATATGTTTGTTGGTTATAATACGCCCTGTTGCCAAAGTTCACCACCATGTCAATTGCAGCCCTGGCACTTGAAAACTGTGCGCAAGTTATGGGGCTCTTTTCATGGTCTTCTTCTTCTTCATATCCGGCACTAAACACGCCGGAATGAGTCCACGTCCACGTTTACCAGAGCTTTGCATAATTTTGAAATTATAACACGCTTTGATGCTGACGTGCCGAAAGGCGTAGGGCGCAAAATGCGTGTTTCTGTCGCCGTCTTTGTCTCTGGCTCAGTCTCTCGTTGTCAACCAAGTCAAATAGAGGTGCAGGCGACAAAAACGAAATTGTTGAAAAAGTTTACAAAATAAATAAGCGCACTTTTTTCTCATTTCCGTTGCTTACTTTGACGTGTTTAGTTTTTGATGTGCACATTCGCGCACACAGCAACAACAACAATAACAGGAACAAAGGTTCCAACAGTAAAGGCAGATGATTAAATTCGTCGCCAGTGTGGACAACGCCGTTGGTTCTAGCGGTGCCTCTCTATATGGGTTGCTCGTTGTCTGCATCTTAGAAGCACCCGCTCTTTGGCTTCACTGCTATTTTTGTCGCGCTCTCTCTTTCTCTCTCTCTCTCTCTCTCTGCCACTCTCCTTCGGGCTTCCTTTCTGTCTCTGTGTGTAAACTTTTCTCATTAGAAAACTTTTACTATTTCCGCTACTCAACGCCAAACGCAAACAACAAACAAACAGCAGCAGCGGCAAACAACAAAAAAAAAAAGCATAATATAAAATAAAATGAAAATAAAAATAAAAATTAAATGAAACATAAAATAAAAATAAGAAAAAAATAAACAAGAAAAATGAGTATCCTGGGCACGCAGCAGCTCAAATACCCTTTGTACACACAAAAGCGTTATGTCCAACCGATTTTTCCTATAGGTGCGATAGAATAAAGTAGCCCTACTGTAAGCTCTGACAAGATATCTTTGAAAAACGTGATCGTCTGGACAAAAGTTCATTTTTATACGATTTTTTCTATTGAGCTTTTTGATAAAGAAGTCCAATACACATACACGAGTTGTAGGGAGCTAGATAAAACTCCTAAATACCAAGATTGGTCAACATAATTATTTAAAGCAAACACATTTAAAAACTTAAGAAGAATATAGATAACTACATGATATGGGAAGAGTCCTAATAACATAAATGCTTTACTCTTTCTGCGTATGTTGCATAATGTATGACAAATTTAAAATATCCTTTAGCAAGGGGAAACACATAAAAAATCGTTTAGCGAACAAAAGGAAATGTGTTGCAAATAAAATTTCGGTGTGCGTAAGTGCCCGAATTGACATTGTTCCAGTGCATACATAAGCTATTTAAAATGTGGCAGCTGCGCTGTTGCACAATTGCAGCAATTTGCAACAGGCGCAACACAAAGGACTCTGCGAGCCTGTGAATTTGCTTTATTTAATTCTAGCAAAAGCAGATGGAATATGTCAAAGTCGCTGTTTGAAAATCAATAAATCAGCGTTTACCGTTTTACCTTTACCTCAGTCTCAATTCAATCAGATTTTGTTATTTGATTTTGCCAGACTCTGCGCCTTCCTGTTTCCTGTGACTTGCAGTGCGCATTTCCTATAAGTGCCTCGCATTTGCTCTAATTTGATTTTGAGCGGCAACTTCTTATGCGATTCGCTTCCATTGCCTGTCAGTGCCTTAAAATGTGCCAATTTTCAGTTGTGTTTATTGATTTAAGTCGACTGAAAGATGACTGATATTTCTGTGTATGTATAATTAGATTGCACCGTGCGCCCAACCTAATTCGTGTACCATCTATCAAAAAAAAAAAAAACAATACAAATAAAGAAGTACAACTTTCAGGCACAAATACTTTAAAGTGTACTCACTAACATCTTTTTGACTAGAGACTTTTAACAAAAGCGACATCGAAGATTTTATACCCTTTTAAACTTTTGCCATGCAGCTCTGCATATATTGCAAAATAATAGTGCTATAAAAAGATTTGGGTAATATGTGCTATATGCATATAGAAATTTTAAAATGCCTAGTTTAATCTAAATAAGAATAGTTGAGTGCAAAAATGAAAACGTATAAAAATTATAGTGCATTGCATCGCACTCGTTCATTGTCCAGAAGTATCAAACAGGTGACCATCCAAATTTTCAAATAGAAATAGAATTTTCCGATTGTACGCTCGATATTTTGGGATAGATCCGTAGAGAAGTTCATTATTAGTCAGAATTTCTAAAAGGATCACTCTGGCTTTCTAAATTATGAAAATATATATTTCAGCGATATGCCACGCCCTCAGCTATATAATCGTAACACTTTATCTGTCGCCGGAATGGCGTTGGAAGAGCAGACGGACATTGCAGAAATCCAATATACTCTTCCAAACGATCATTCTTTATCGATCGTGTTATTATTTCTTACTATCGCTACCCATAGGCGAAAAGCTTTCATAACCCTCTGAGGAGTTGGGTCAAAAGTGGGCTACTATTATTGTACTTGTATATTCAAATAAGATGAAATGGCTTATCGTCGGTAAATCTTGAGACTTACTCTCAGCGTTGTGCATTCATCTTTCGCCACAAAACAACGACAATGTATCAAAAGTGGTACGCAATCTTAGAAAAAACCATAAAATTGGGTAGCTTAAATGATCGAATTTACAATATCAATTATAATTATATATAATATAATTCCGAAATGCCAGATTTTAGCAAAATCTCATCAGTTTATCAATAAATTGCGGGGGCTCTCAATTTGTATGCAATTTTTGTGCAACTGAAATGCACTCGGAACGGGGCACCCATTTCGTTTATAATGGATATACAACGTACTCGTAGAAATATATACGA